ATTTCTTTAACAGTCTTTAGTCAATAAGGAATTATAGTTCTGCTCTATTTTATTAGTGTGAGTATAATATCATTGCTTTATTATACACATGTGCTTGATGAGATAGTTGAAAGAATTAACTAAATCAACTTATTTTGCAATAGTGTATATTTTAATTTGATTATATGACTCATTGATATCTCCTTGTTTGAAATTTTGATTCAATTAAGTTATGTAAATTTTGTATATTAAAGTCTCCTTGTTTATTTTCAATTTAGTGAACACAATATGTATTCTTTAATAATGTTTGTAGTATTTTTTAAACTCAAATAAAAATTATGAAGTCTTAAATTTTATTTTTGATATTGTTCGGTCTTTCTTTATCTTTTTAGATCTTCCAAGTTTCCAATCTTTTTTTTCTATCTCGAATCATATAAGGCTTACACTGAATTATCGTGGGTATATAAACGGTAGCTTGAGACGGCATTATGTTGTTGGAGATGGTGAAAATCAATTTTGATTGGACATAACTTTTTTCATATTTTTTCATTTGCTTAAATATAAGCACCATAACACTTTTATTTCTCATAATCCTTGTTTGAGTTAATAAAATATGTCATTGGCTTCGTTATGAACTTTTTCTTTCTACATTTGAAAACAAGTAACAAGCGTTAAAAAACAATTCCTAAATGTCAAATGTTACAAGAAATCAGAATTTTAATGGGATTTAAGTAGGCCAACGTTGAAGCTTAGAAATTCAATAAGATTTAGACTTAGAATATACCTATTTTTTAGTTGAAATATTTTTTCTCCATAATTTTTTTTTTTAGAAATATAAACAATTTTTTTTAGTCTAACACGTACATAAAGTCCGAACTTAAATGATACTAATTATAAATACAAGAAAACTAATACACTACATTAGTCGGAATCGGTTGAAAGAACGAACGCAAATTTCATGATTTCACTCCTTTTATGATACTATTAATATTTTTTTTAGAATTCATTTCTTATAAATATTTACTTTGTCATGCAGTACACATGATGAGTTCGATAGAGATTCATTGTAAATACACAATTTATGAATATAAGATTTATTTGAGGAATTGTTTTTATAATTTTTCATAATTATATTGCTAAGAATTTGACATTACAAGATATAAAGAGCGAAATTTTCTGTCATTGAGTACATGATTATTTTTGCTTTGAGACAATAATTTTCCATCTTGTTATCTTGGTCAACGTTTTTTAAGAAAACTTAGAATTTTAAAGTTGATACCCCTTGCATGTGCATGCTTTTACTTAGGCACGTTCTAGAACGAAAATAATTTTATAAATTTTATGTTGAAATAACATTTATTGATTCATATATGAAAAAAGGTTATATTATTGATTTAAAGCTTTTGATGCTTTTAGGTACTTTTTCTTATATATCCGTGAGAATGGGAGAACGAGCTAGAGTTCACACCTATTTAATTTTTTACCTTTATTATTATTATTATTATTATTATTATTATTATTGTTGTTGTTATTATTATTATTATTATTATTATTATTATTATTATTATTATTATTATTATTATTATTATTATTATTATAACATAAGCATAGTCTGTAAGAGTTTGTTCTATGTTGTGCGGACATAGATGATTCAGTGAAATTGTCCGGCAAATTCATACATGTATTTTACGTATGATATAGTATTATAAAAAAGTTACTACTTAATTATTGAGAGGATTTGTTAATTCTGTAAGTATTCGTTAATTAAATCAAAAGAAGATTCTTACGAAAATAAACTGAATGTAAAAAAACGAGAGTCTCCTATACAACCTTTAACTTTATTGGTGAGGAGGTAAAGTTTTTCTAAAATTTTCTTGAAAAATTCAACCTTTAAATGATCTTATTAAAAGTTGGAAGCATTTGTTGAAACCAAAAAAATAATAGACTATCAAATCATTATATCATTAATTGTTCATCATGTCATAAATACAAAATATAGAACCCATTATTAGTCAAATAAATAATACTTTGCTCAACTCCCAGAGAATGTGAAGATGTAAGCTTTTTAGATAATTTAATATCTATTGTATAACTCAAAACAATTCTTGATATGTATGCAAATAAAAACTTTATAATTTTTAGATACTAATTTTGTAATGTTTGACAAATAAGTTAAATTACACGTGCAACGCACGTACACTAAATCTAGTATATATATATATATATACATACTATATTAAAAGCACAAAAGCCCTTAGCGAAATGTCGTTCAACTTTTTTACTCTTTAAATTTTGATTGTACATTGGACAAATTTGTAATTTAATTATTTTTCTAATATTGAGAGCTTTAAAATTGACTAAAATATTAGTTATTAATTCTTTCCTTGTTTGAATTATGTAGGATTTCCTAAAATTTAGAAATTTAAATCGAGTAATATTCTACTTATATATTCTTTCCTTATTACAATTACGTAAAATACAACAAAATGATCCTTTGTAATCTTCCAATTTAAAAAGAGAATTTCTTTTCCCCGTGGATCCTCGAACCGGCTATAATTTTTAGTTCCATTACGTTTAGAGATCTTTATTTAATTTCTTTTCATCTTATGCTTTCTCCAAAGTACTACAAGATTGCCCCTTAATTCGTTTAGTGTTTTCATTTTTAATTATAATTTAATTCCTTTTTTATAATTTAACATTACTGTGCAAAATTTAGCCAAAAATTGAATAATCACCACAACTTAAATAAAAATAACAAAAGATGGTGGAAATTTGTATATAAGATTGCAAACAAAGATTCATTATATAACAAATTCCTAAAAGATTATATTCTATATTTATACTAAAATAAATAAAGTTGGAATAAATTTAAGTTTAATAATATAGATTTAGAAGAATTGAATACTTTTATGAGAAATTTTTTCCTTTATTGAGTTCGTTATATATGATCAATAATCATCATTTTAAATTTTTTTTACTTTTTCTTAACTTTTGTTTTGTAACTCAAATACACTTATAATATAAGTATTTATGTATTTTTCTTAAAATTTATATTTACTCAGACGAGGGTACACGCGCAAAACGCGTACTCTAAGACTAGTATACTATATTAAAAGCAAGAAAGTCCTTAGCGAAATGTCGTTCGCCTTTTTTACCCTTTAAAAATAAATTTTACATTGAATAAAATTATAAATTAAGTTATTTTTCTAATATTTAGGAGTTATACTACAATTTAATTTATTAAATCATTTCTTATTTGAATTATGTATGAAGTCCTAATATTTAGGATTTAGTAAAAATACAATAAGAAAAGGAAAACACGTAAAAGATTTCCAACAAAGTAAACAATCTGATTACACAGCATATTGTCTTCGATGAAAAATATAGCTCCCGACAATAACGGAGTTACTTTGAAGTCAAGTACAAATTATTTGACTTCTAAATTTATAGGATTTTTCTAGCATTTAATAATAATACAAATAAAAATAGATAATAGATAATACACATCCATATAATACTTGAACTCCCTTCATATTCAAATAAGAAAAAATCCTCATTGAATTTTAGTATAATATTTAAATATTACACTCAACTATTAGAACAAATAATTATGTATTTTCTCTTCATCGATTTTATGTGTGATATTTTCAAATTACACTCCATAGTTAGAAAACAATAACTAAGGAAATATTTACAAATTTAGAATTAGACAAAATTGAAGGATTATAATCTTGGGATAAAATGTGGAAATATTCAATTTCATGTTTGGTTAATTTTTTTTGTTTTTTTTTGGTATAAGAAATTGCTAGAATAGTCATACCTCAATCTTAATTAGCTACTATTCTTATTCTGCATTCAATGTGGGATAATATTTGAGAATTAGCTATCCCAGGTAAAATAATTAAATTACCAAAATATCCTTCTCCAAAACGCTAATTCCAAAATCTTTTAAGAAGACCTAGGTTAAAATTAAAAATAAAATTTTATCCAAGTTTATGTATGAAAAAATCAAACATATATTTTATATTATACTCCATAATTTTGAATTCAATGAATCAAATATTTATCAATTGAAAGTATATCTAATAAATATTTTTGCTACTATTTAATTTTTCGTATTATAATTTTTGCATTATAATCCCAATATAACTTTTTGCAAATTAAAAGACCTGTTAGGGTACATAAATTTATTTTTTTAAAGGAGAAAATTGGCGCTAAAAACAATTAGGCAATAGAAAAAAATTAGTTAAAGTATAATATTTAGAGTCAAATTGGTAAAAGTGTGTACTTGAAACAATAAGGATAAGATAGTAGATGATAATATTGTGTATTCAAAATGAATTTATCATTTATTTTTTATTTATTCTAACAAATGACAACTCCTTGTGTTTTCTATATATCTCTAATAAGTTATCTATTGTAAAATATCAGCTCATTAGTTATTTTTAGACTTTACACTGTAGTTATCAATTTTTCTTGAGCTATAGAAACAACCTCTTCATTCCCAAATTCCTTAAGAGATAAATCTTTTAATTCTCAATAGGTTTTATTTGACAAATCCTTACAGAATCTTGATAACAATATATATGCATTACTTGCTTGTTTTTAGTATTAGGTCACATAAATAACAATAAACTTCATAAGATATTCCCAGTCTTTAGAAATAAAGATAAAGCATTTACGAATTTTTATAGAGAAAGATTTTTTTTCTTTATTGAGTTAGCTAAGTGGGATCAACATTCAACATTTTCAAGAAATCTACTTTTTATTTTATATCCCAAAGACATTGTGTAAATATTATTTATGTGATTTTTTAAAATTAAATATTTATTGATATGAACGCATTTCAAGAGTGATGATGTCTTTAGTTGAACACCATTCGCCGAAAACTTATATTATATATATAGATGAAATATTACTTTTTATACATATATTAATTTGGAACATCCTTAGCAAAATTGCTAGTTTCACCGCCTGGACATCTTTCCCTTTGCCACGAACAACCTAAATCAGCCCAAAGCTATAATCTATCTTGACTTGTTATTTTCTTCTCCCCAGTTACAAATATCCAAAACCAATTCAACAGTTATTTACAAAAAGTTGGTAGCAATTGACAACATTCTTGATACCAACTACTTAGTAGAATAAATATGTGCCTATTGACAAAATATTGTATTCCAATTGATACAAAATATGAGGAGAAAAAACCCATGAAAAATGTTCACTATCATCTAATTGTATAATCTGTCATATTTGACAACAAAATCTTGTGGTAAGTTAAGTTTGTAATTTCTTCTCACTTATCATTTCCACAGCAGCAGTATTGACAACAAGCAAAGCAACCTAAACATCCCAATGCACCTAGCAACTGTGATAGTGCAATTGCACACTGATGATTCATCTTTGAACATGTCCTAATACAGCAACCACAACAGCAGCATATACCACACAATTTTCCGCAACAATTAGATGTTGCTTTCGCGATAATTTCTGCTGCTTCGTCCTCTGTCTCGATTGCTCCAGGAGGAATATTCTCAATCGTTGCTGTGAGGTTACCAAAACCAATGCCAAGGTAGTGTAGCAGTATCGCCTTCTCTACTATACGCTCCTCTATCTTCTCAGCATCAGAATGAACCTGAAAGACGACGAGTGTAATAATGAAATGAACTATTTTAGCAAATGATAGTTAATTCTGAGTCTTGTATCTATTTACTCCATTACGAGAACACATGTTTCTTGACAAACTCAAACTTGTTTTCTTATTAGTCTGGTGTGAGGTTTCCCTTGTTGGATTTCAATGCCATAAATATTTAAAAGTACCCTTATAATTAAGTTAATACCAGACTATAGTTACTTGACTTTTATGCAGATTGCCAAGAGTACACGAAAGTGAACTTCTAGAGATGGAGATTACTCATTTACTATGTAAACGAATGCCCTTAGCCGAGGGTCTATTGGAAACAGCCTCTCTATCTCAACAAGGTAGGGGCAAGGCTGCGTACACACTACCCTACCTAGACACACTATGTGGGATTATACTAGGTTTGTTGTTGTTGTTGTCGCATATAAATGAATGAGCTACAATAAATGGACTAAATGAGAAAGTTTAGTCATTTGTGAAACCTGAGGTTACCAAATTGTCTACTCAGAATTGTTGATCTAAATATGTCAGAATGTCTTAGTTTACTGAAATTGAAGCACAACAAATTCCATGCATACCTTCCTTTTCGTGGTTGGCTTAATGACTCTTACTCTTTCTGTCGATACCAATGCCATGCGTGCATACTCAGAGACTACTGCATGTTGTGCACTCATTTTTGCTATCTGTCAACAAAGGAGAAGAGCTCAGTAATGTGATAACTACTTTAGAACTAAGTCAAGAATATAAAGGGTGAAATAATAGGATCAGCATAAACGATTCATATATTCAAACATAATAAGCAGGAGTTCAATAACCTTCTGCTCGAGATCCTTATTTTCTGTAAACCAGGCCTGAGCTGTGAGTATATCAACCTGCTGCTTTACCATTATCTGCATTTTCAATATACAAGGACTTAAATCAATATAAAAGATGAGGATCTTAAACCAAGTGCACTAATTTGGAAACTGGAAATCAATAGAGTAATATGTATTTCAGCGGAAAGCCATAAAATGTTCTCATCAGTTCAATCAAGAATCCGGACAGATAAACTGTTCACTTAAAACTTAAGGAACAAACATTCAAGTTTACCTTAATATGGTATCCATGTACTTCTGTACCTGACTCATACTTAAAAGTTTTAACCGACCCTTTGCTGATAGCACTAACACCGGAAATTTTCAGTTGACATAAGAGGAGCCTGTTAAAGGAAAGTGAACCTTTCCTTTTTTGTCTTACCAATAACATAGCAGTAAGATTGAAGATACTAACTATTATTGTTATAAATATGTATATATAGGCCATATTGGAAGGGCAATCCGTCCTCTTGATCTGAAGTGCGAAAAGAAGGATCCCCTTTTTCATGACTTCCACTTATCAATTCCCAACCTAAAAATGCGACCATATAACTTTGCACAGACACAGTAAAACGGAGTGCAAGAAAATCTTCAATAGGATGCATATGAAACCAGAGGCGAATGCAGAATTTCAAGCTTTTGGGTTCCTACAACGATCTCAAGTTAATATACATAATAATTGATCTAAGGAAGTGGGTTCCAAGCTAAATATTCTTTTACTTTTAATGAATTTTTAGTATAAATACAGGGTCTACGCAAAAGTTACTGGGTTCACGGGAACCCGTAAACCTTGCATTAGATCCGCCCCTTTATGAAACAGTCTCTAACCATCGAATGATTCTATGGTTCACATACATATGAATAGCCATCCGGCCAATAGGGCCAATATGGATACTGGAATCTCGTGGGATCATGCATTTATTGTGATTTCCTTTTTACTCTTGGGACGAAATATGCAGATTCTAAAAGCCACAAAACATGCCATTTCTGTTGATAATGCACCTATAATTGAGTTTGCTTCCTTACCTTGTCAAGAGGTATGTCTTTGGACTCAATCCCTTTTAACTCCACAGAGAAATTTCTCATGTCTGCTAGGATTCCTTTAGCTTTGAGCATCTCAGGGAATACTCCTCGGTATCTGCCGGATAAGACTATTGGTCCTTCAGATGAGAGGTCTGGAATTTGAGAGGGAAATACCTGTCATGAAAAATTAAATATCATTATTAACAATATGCAAATTAGAGCTTCCATTTCATTCTTGAGCTATTTGTAATTACGTCTGTCTTTTGAAACGACAGACAAAACTCGTAATAAGTCATCAAAAACATAATATTCATAAGCGCACCTCGAATTCTTCAAGACCATCAAGGTTCTCAAAGGCAATATTCGCAAGGATGATGGATGATGCCCTGGAGAACAGCCTCTCCAAACGAATTTCGAGTGATTCTGAAAAATCACCAACACGAGAAATAGCATTCAGTTTCGAGTAACAACTGCTATGAATTTGCACAACAAGAGCAGGCAAGCTATTTCTAAGTATCTCTAGCAAAATTGGACCAAACGCGACGCTTCAAAACACCAGCCTTATAAACAATTTTTGGGAGACACTTGGAAACTACATCTACATGATAAAAAAAGCATTTTCCTCATGATTACCCAAAGTAAATTGTGCTATTTTTCAGCTTCCAGATATTGAGGGGCCAGATATGTAAAACTTTTAGACAACAATATAATGACATCCATGTGCTCGCGATAGGAAAATATTAACCTCCATCACAACAATAGAAACTCTTTGTTTGATTTTGGAGCATTACTGATACAAATTGGCGGACACTAATTGGAGTTTATGTAGGAATCTACTAGTAAGATCTTGTACTTGATAGTAAATGTGCAATTAATTATGCAGAAATCAAAAGGTAATAACCTTATAGCAAATCAGTTCAATGAAATCAAGACATTCAATCATGTAAAAATAGCATTTGGGCAGCAGTTATCGAAAGAAAAACTTTGCACACATAAAAAAAGAACTCACCAACATCTAAAGCAGCATCATAATGGCCACGGCTCATCATTGCTAGTGTGCGCAGAAAATAGTGGTTGCAGAACAATCCTGAAAATTTTCTCAAATTAGAATCAGATGTTGAAAGAACATATATCTACTGCACTAAGCACAGATTACTTATTGCAGAAAGAGAACTCAGACACAAAGATCCGATAACATAATGTATACCGATGCCAAATGTGTAAAGTCGTGGGCACATTGTTCTGTTTTGTATTAGATGACTCTTCATGAATTCACATATCTGTCTTTCATCTTCAACAGCTCCATCCGTGATCAGGAAAATGATAGGCATGGATTCTCCAGCGTTAGATTTAGACAACATCCCGATAGCCTGATAAAGGAACAAGGCACTGCTGTCAGATTTGTCACAGAAAAGGATAGATATCTATTTTAAGATGTACTTTCTTGATTTAAGACTTTAAGTAAAACTTGGAGATCTCGATCAATTAACTACACCTCAATCCCAAACACAAGGCAGAACACTATTACTTTTCTTTCCACTTTCTTTAAGTAGAAGATTGATAATATCACAGGTTCATCTGCTCCAACTTGAAAATAAGAATAGGAACACTGATAAATGGTAGCATACAACTGAAAAGTCGATGAGAAGGTAAGATAACCTGTTTCAATGGATTCAAGATATTTGTACCGCCACCAGCAATAAAGTTCATGTCAATCCACTGAGTTGCATTGTCAATAGCCTCCTTGCTTGCAACCTCTAGTGATGATGAAAATAGGTACTCTTCACTGTTGAAAGCGATTATATTAAACAAATCTTGGGGATCAAGTTTTGATAATGCTACAGAGAGAGCTTGTTTGGTATCGTCGATTGGTTTTCCTTTCATGCTCCCACTTATATCAACAACAAATATCACTTCCTTTCTGAAGACCTATCACAAAGTTCAACAGAATTGGAAATTTTGACAAGAATTGAACTTCTGGAGTAATCTTAAATGCAAAAGTAGACAATGAAAAAAGAGTAAACAAACCTTTCTACATTCTTGAGCACCTGGAAAGAGATAGCAGCAGAACATCTCTCTCTGGTCAGTGTCATTTTGTAGCGGCGATTGCAGAAGTATACTGCCATGATATGTAGGACTTGAAGAAATCTGAAAACACAATGACACTAATGAGAGAGTTTCACACAACCCAAATCTTTAGAAAAGCTTTATAATATCGCTTTAATGTTCCTACAAGAGATTGCAACATATTTGATAAATAAACTATTGCAACATATTAATCTAGGGCGTACCTTGTAAGTAAACACAATGTCGCTACTTGACCAATTAAGGACATCAGCTTCATAGAACAAGCACAACTTTCCAGCTTCATGCTCTAGCTCCTAAAAAACCAAAATCGTCAACAGTGTCACAGTTGTTTCATCTACCACAAAGTATAAATCAGTAGAATTCATAACAAACTTCACCTTAAGAGGGTGACTGATAGTCTTACACGAAACCTTAGTCCCCGGACCACAATTAACATTTAACTGTATCATTTCTTTCTTAGACATCTTCTTTCCAACTGGAGTCACGTACTCTGGGAAACTATAGGGTATATTCAAGTGAAAATGGCCATCGCGATACAATAACTTCTGAGACCATCTAATTGTTACTGAGATACAGGTTCCACCATCAATCTGAAAAGGTAAATCCATTAGTAAAATGAACAATCATCATAAAATAAGAAAGCAGTAATTCCAATAGTGAAATGAACAATCATCATAAAATAAGAAAGCAGATTATATACTCCCTCCGTTCCAATTTATGTGACACTATTTCCTTATTAGTCCATTTTAAAAAGAGTGACACATTAATTTCTATATTTGGAAACATATAACATTAAACTCATTTTACCTTTAATGAGAAGCTTTTTATAGCCATGCTTAAGTTATGGCATGTTTTAAGACCACAAGTTTCACAAATCTTTTATTTCTTTCTTAAACTCCGTGTCGAGTAAACTGGAACGGAGGGAGTAGGATACAGTTAGAAATTTACCTCTGGTATTGTGACGGTAAAAATACGGGGCTTGAGAAAGCATCCATCTTCAACTTTGGCTAACTTTACAATTTCCCTTTCATCATCTTCAGCGACTAGTTTAGTGCTGTAAGATTTCCTTGGTAACTCAACGTCGACACCTAGAATTGAACCCTGTTAGCCAAATAATACATCACTTGAGGAACAAACAATCAGCAATGTTTCACTTATGTGAAACAAGAGAATGGTAAGGATTCACAAAATAAGAAAGCATTCAACAAACACATCCCAAAATCTACGCGAGCTGAAACAAAGGATTTCTCTATTCAGAGAAGTTCTATATTAACTATATTAAGGCTTAAACAAGAAAAGAATACCAAGCTCATTGCTTTCAAGTTATATATGCTTGCCTTTAACTTCCAAAAGCGTTTGACTTGTTGGCAAATTTGTGCAAAAACTTAACCAAAATCAATCAAACCTATAAAACCCAGTGTTATTAAATTAAAGCCACTTCCATGCATGTTTTGCAAGATTTATTTTTTTGCAGTAACAGTTAAAAGATATTTACACAATCAGGTCATTTCAAGACATTTGCAGCTAACGCTTTATAATTAGCATTAACTGGTAACCTAAATAGTAAGTTATATATCATACCATGTTAAAATACATTAATAATATAACAAGAGTTGTTTCAAGCCTTAAACAGGTAAAAGGACAGCCCATTACTCTAAGCTCCCGCTATGCACAGGTCCGGAGAAGGGTCGGACCACAAGGGTCTATTGTATCACTAAAAGGAGCAAATTCTATACTATTGCGCAAATTAGCTACCATTGTTAAGGATTAATGTTAATCATAGGGATTTATCTGTAATTAACTTCTAATTGAGTCGTATCATTGCATAGAACTTTAAACTCTTACAATCAAAGAGACAATTATAAATTTCCATAATTACCTGTTCGCCCATAGGAACAGCAAAACGACAGTCACAGCTACGGCTACTCATAACGCAATGCAAACGCCACGAACCCGTAACGGTAATAACCGCCGTATCAAAATAACAATCAGCCGCAACCGAAACGCCGTTCATCTGAAGCGGAATTAAAGCAGGTGGATCGCACCTGCCATGCACGTGAGGTTGATAACTCGGAATATCGGGGTTATCAACAATGGCAGGATTCTCAATCACAGCATACATCATAGGTGACGTCGGCAAGTACGATTGCGCCGCCTTATCCATTGCCATCATCGGCTTAGGCGGCGCAACGGCACGGTCTTTGCCGAAATATATTCGTTTTGATAGCCTTATTCCGTCTTCTACGCATTTCACAAATTCCTCCTGATCCGCCATGTTATATATAATTCGCGGCTCAATAAAATTGGTCGCTTTTTTTCGAGAAAGAGGTAATAATAAGAATATGGAAAAACTATGGTAAAGATAATGGAGAAGAAGAGGATTGGAAAATGTGATTTCTTCGTCCTCTTCTTCTCTGTGGATCAAGCTAACTTCCCGACGCCGACCGACGTTTATGGTGTGATATTTTGCATATAAACTGTGTCACGGAGGAAGTGTCGGACGCGAACACGTTCTTGCCACGGTTCCAAACTTTGCTACCAATGGCTGCCACCCATTTTTCTTTTTTCATCAAAAACAAAAAAAGCTATAGTTTCTCACTTAATTTGGTTTGTCACAAATTACAGCTTGTTTGGAAGATTGTTATATATAATTTCATAAAGTATCGTACCGTATTGTATTGTATCATTTTAATATATATAATGTTAGGATAAATTATACCTTTATCGTGATTTTATGATGTCATGCATCAACAAGATGAAGAATAAATTTGTAATATTGTTAAAAATAAAGTATAATATGAGGTAGAATTATTATATAAAATAATAAGGTAAAGGATAAAATAGAGTTATTTAATAATAACGAAAGGCAAGATAGAGGAAAAAAATAAGATAATGACGCGATTACACCGAATCGATCGTTTCATAAGGTGACATTTTTTATCGTTACGTAACGATAAATTTAACGATACAATATAATAAAATTTAAGTAACAATTAAAATAAATATTATATTTAAAATAACAGTACAACAGGTACGATAATTTCTACTTCACTAAATTATCGTTTGCTCGTCTAAGAATAAACTTTTGGTGTACTAATGAAACAGACTCGTATTTTTGTTTTCCTAATATTTTGATCTTATTACTTATCCTAATCCTATGACACAGTTTTTAATGTTGTTCAATTATAAGCAAAAATTATTGGGTGTGTGTGAACAAAGTCACACATGAAAAGTAAAATGGAAAAATATTCTACTTATAAGGAGTTGTATACTCTTAATGGTGTGAGGCCTTTTGGAAAAAAACGTACGGGCTTGGCTCAAAGCGTACAATATCACACCATATTAAAAATATCTTTGTGCTATTTTAGCTCAACAACTGATATTAGAGCCAATGATTTGGCGGGATTATGGAGATGGCGGAGTGTAGCGTGGGGTCCGGGCTTAGTGCCTTTGCCCCCGTCTACGGGGTTTACAATTCTTACCCGTAGCTTTGAAGATGCATACACAACATTTGGGCTTCACTGACAGTAAATACTCAAGTTTATGTGGGTGGCACACAATTAATCACCAAATTAGCCTATGACTGGTGATGGATCATGTGGAACTTAGTCCAAGGGGGAGATTGTTGGGTGTGTGTGAACAAAGTCCCAAATGGAAAGTAGAAAGGAAAAAGATTAATTCTACTTATAAGGAATTGTATACTCTTAATGGTGTGAGGCCTTTTTGGTAAAAATCATGCGAGCTTGGCTCAAAGCGGACAATATCACACTATGTTAAAAGTTTTTTTGGGCCGTTTTAGCCCAAACACAAATATGTTTATCTATTTCTACTTTTTATGTAGACAATTTAATTTGAATACCTGATTATATTTGCATTATGTCCAATCATTATTCGAAGATTCTTCTTCTCAATATAATTATAAGTGATATGACAACTTTTTGTTAAAGAAATATATTCAGTACTATTTGCCTGTAAAACGATACAGTTAAATTTGTTCGCGGTTTTTAGACAAATGAATCAATTTGATCCCAAAGATAATGAATTGATCGATCAGATGTAAGATACTTAGCTCAAAATGTAGATGAAATGATGGATTCGAAAAGCCCGGGAACAAGGTTTCCGGATACAATGATGATAAAATTAACAAGCGAGAAAGAAAGAAAAAAGGTATATGATTGCTCTGTAGAATTTTGTCAATGTATTCCAGAAAAAAACCGTCCTTTACAATGATAGTTGAGCCTATTATTTATAACTCAGTGGGCGTAATGGTCGGGCCCATCACTAATGACAATTATTGGAATGTGATAATGAAAATCTAACGGTAAACACAAATGCTCAGATTTCTTTAATGAGCCGTATTCTTTAATATTGTGGAATATTCTTCATTAAATGTCATCGGGCGCAGCATGCTTAACGCCCTTATGAACTTGCCTTTTTCGGTGACACACGAGATAGTTGTGCCCGATTTTCCATCCTCCCGATTTTGATTCCACGTGTCTCCTTCTTAGGTGGCCACGTAGCATAACGCATTTTACCCAATACAGATAATCCCCCAGCTTTACGGTGACACAACTTTGTGTTACCGGGCTTCTTCATCTAAACGTTCTGGTTCTTCAAAAAATAAGAACAAAAATAAAGATTCTGCTCCCCCAACAGTAAGTTTCATAATCCCCAAAAGGCTCAGTACTTTGAAGGATTTGGAGGAGAAATTTCCCACTGATAACCAACATACATGGGTGGTTAGTATGTATCCATCTTCCATTCGTCCTTCCAGTATCCCTACTGGGAAGGAAGACTGTTGCTGCCCGAATTTGGACATCATCGCTCCCAAAATTCTCTTGTGGAAAGAATTGTCCATTAAATACAAGTGGAAGGCCAAAAATCATGGTAACTATAATTTGCTCTGCCTAAGTTTTTGCATATGTGGATTTTGGCTGAATCTCCTGACTTGTTTGTCAAATTAGGTCTACCCCCGGGCTAAGTCGAGATCCCCGAAGAGGATGTTTTGGCCGACCCTACTGATGTGGCGAGGTTGCTCCAGGAGGGGCTTGCTCTAACGGGTGCATCCGGTTCTGCTCCGGGATTAAATATTTCTTCACGGAGTCCCCGGCTAGAGAACAAGCAACCAAAAAAAGGCATTTTTTTGCGTCCGGGGAGAAGAATAAGAGGGCAAAGGTTGATGCCCCCAAATCATCCCAGGTGGCGACGTTGGCCAGTCCTCCCTCCCGACCGGTCATAGACACCGTAGTGATTGATGATGAATAAGCTAGTGATGAAGGAGTTTCTCTTCACAGAAGACAACGATCTTTATCCTCTTAATAGGATGCTCAACTAGTTAATGCAGTCATATCCATCGAGGATGATGTCTCGGTACTTTGGGGAGAGTTTGATTTGGTGAAAAATGCCAACTCCCTTTCTCGGGCCCCAATCATTGTATCCGGTACTGCGAGGCAGAGTACCGGGTCCTTGCCGTCCTCGGTCGGTGAGCGCCCAACTATCAGTGCTACATTTGGTGTAGCTGCTTCCCGTTCTTCTTCTTAACCCGCTTTATCACCACCTTCTTCGCCACCAGCAGCTGCTACATCATTTCCATCTTCATACATGCTTTTAACGACAACATCATCTCCAACGGCCCCACCTGACCGTGTTGAAGGCTTTCCTCTTCCTCAGTCCCATGTTCATGGGAATTTGGGGCAAAATTATGCTGTCCCTTCTAAATATCCTCAGAGGAGGAGAAGTGTTACCCTTTCAGTCTCTACCAGATGCAACCATCTTTCCCGGCCGGTGGAGCTTGCAAATTATCTGAAGCCCTTGGCTTTAGAGAATGATTGGTAAAAGATTCAGACACTCTCGGGAGAGTGTTTGTTGAACATTGCCATGCATAATGCCGCAGTGGTATGTTTCTGTCTTTCTCTTGCTATTTCTCAGCTTCTGAATGAGTGCATTTTAAATTTTACCTCTTCTTATTTTGCAAGCCAATTTTCTTACTTCCAAGGGCCTACATCAGTTAATCCGTGAGAAGGAGAACTCTCTTCTGAGCGGGATCGGCTTTTGGCTGAACGGGACTAGACAGTTCTTCGCCTCTCGATACTGGAAACCAGGGCCACTAAGGTTGTGGCTTTGGAAGCCCGCTTGCAGCAAAGTGAGCAGGAAGTAGAGATCCTTAGCCATGAAATTGGGCCACTGAGCTAGTTTTGATGAAGTCAAAGCTAAGTGGGCTGAGGTACAGGATGCCATTCTTGCTGCCAATTACCGTGAGGCTACTGCTGCCAAAAGGGTAACTAATTTAGAAGCAGCCTTGAATTCTAAGGTCGAAGAGCTTATTGTTGCAGAGGCAAGATATGCCCGGTTGGAGGAGAAGCATAAGAAAACTATCGAGCATAACAGGCTCTATAGTTCAACTATCCATGATCTCAATGTTATCCTCCAGTCTGTTAGGTCCGCTCGGGACAATCTTTCTGCCGAGACCGCTCAACTCAAAGAAGAACTCAGGCGCCGAGAGGCTTACCTCGTTGTTGAAAAAACTTACGCCATGTACAGCATGAGGAGAAAAACCTTGGAAGCAGCGAAAGGTGGCATTATTGATATTGATGCCGAAATCGCTAAGGTATAAGAACTTGAGTTGGCTGCAAAAAAATGGACTCCCAGCGCGGTCTGACGTTCCAGGTCCTTCTGATTCTGGTTCCAAGATTTCTGACACTGAAGAGGAATCGGAAGGCGATGATGCCGAATATCAAGTTGGCAAAGATGTTGAGCCATCGGTTGAACTGGCTACTGCTCCCGGGGATGTTGATACTTCTCTTCCTTCTGATACTGGCGACACTGTAGTTTAGCTTTTTCTTTCCCTGTCTTGTATTTCCTTTTGGTACACCTTTGTAAATAAAGATGTATTGTTGCTCAACTATTTGGATTTGTCTTACTTTGCTTGGATATCTATTGAAGTTTTTAAACCCTTGTGCATGTCTTCCTGCTTTTCTGTATGTGGTCTCGGGTGCATTTTCTTCGATGCACTTCTATCTCCCAGAATTATCACTTTTACATTAGGGTTTCAGTAAGTATTTGTGCAGGTTTGGTTTCTGCATCTTTTTCATATGTGGCTTTAGGTGTATTTTTTATCGATAGCATTTTTGGTTCCGGTTATATATTCTTCTAGAACTAACCCTTTAACATGAGGATTTTTTTTATAAGTGTTTGCCCAAGTTTGGTTTCTGCATCTTTTTCATATGTGGCTTTGGGTGTGTTTTTTTCCGATAGCATTTTTGGTTCCGGGTATATATTCTTCCGGAACTAACCCTTTAACAGGAGGATTTTTATAATAGAGGGCCCTCTTATGTTTACCATGCTCTTGAGAGGACATCTCTTGTTCATTACGGTACTAACATTTGAAGTACTTGTTTAACTTTCAAATGACAAAATTAGCTCATCGTGCAGACAAGAAACAAGATAAAAGCAAAAGGATTTCATTTCATTCCTTCTGTTTTCATAGTTTAGATAGGCATTTTGCTATGTAGAAAAGAAGTCGCCATGACTTGTGACT